TAGGATCTAGTACGAAGTACCAGGTACTAATTGTAGGATCTAGTACGAAGTACCAGGCACTAATACTAGGACCTAAAGGAAGTACTAGGCACTAATACTAAGATCCAGTAATGAGTACCAGGACTAATACTGGGACCTAGTAAGAAGTACTAGGTACTATGACTAGGATCCAGTAAGAAGTACCAGGACTAATACTTGGACCTAGTAAGAAGTATCAAATACTAATACTAGGACCTAAAGGAAGTGCTAGGTGCTAAGACTAAGGCATAATAGGAAGTACTCTGTACCAATACTAGGAGCTGGTATAACGTACCAGATACTAATACTGGGATTTTCTAGTGACTAGTATGCACTAACAGATTTTAGTGAGGAGTACGAGGAGTACTGCATATCGCAAGAGGTTAGTAGTAATCAGGAGGTCATAGTGCAGTGTAGTAGCGGTTATAAGTGTTTGGTATGAACTATCTAGTATCACTAGGATCTAGCAAAGATTGTAAATAACTTCCAGGATCAATATTTCTGCTTTCTCTCATTGCGAGATGATGAGGCCGTTATAGATAGAACAGTTTCACTCACACCCACGTCGATACCTTTATCCATGCGTCCAGTACGAAAATCTTTTGAGTATATCTACACTACAAGTATAAGTTACAGCTCGTTTTGGTCAACATCTGCCAGAGAATTTGGATCTTTTATCACGAGATAGATATAAGCATATAATGTAAAGGCCCATTCTCCTGAAACTGTAGTGTATATATGGTTGAGATTAATATTTGTCGAGTAGGATATCAATATAGTTTAGTATAGAATGAATAATGAATTATATATCAGCTGAAACCCCATTAAAATGGGTTTAGGAGTATGACTTATCATTTAAAATATGAGAATATATTGTAGAATTATAGCAGATTTTATGTTATCAGATGCTCTCATGACTAGTTAACTATAAAAATATAGGCTTTTAAAAGATTGTTTTCGTCTAGTAGACTTTAGAGTTCTCTCTTCTGATTATTTTAGGGAAAATGTTTTTGAAATATGACGAGTAAATAACGAGATTAGAGTAAGAATACAAGAGTTTTTCAACGACTTTCATTGATATACTTAAGACAATTTTCCAGTATTTTGATCTAAGTATTATTATTTATTCATTAAATTTTAAAAATAGTTTTACCACAAAGGAGTGTCTGATCGCCCAAACTTGCTATAACACTACAGCATTCATTCATCGTTTGAATAACGAGTCAATATTTCCGAATTTAGTATTAGATGAACTTCTATCTGGTATAAAACTTATTTTTTGTTATTTGAAATAATTTTGATAAACTGATGGATAAAATATAATCTCGAATGCTGTATATATTGTGATGAATAGACTTAGAGGACCGTATATACACTCACTTTCTAGAAAGATAAGAAAGTAAATACAAATAGTTATGCAAGTAAGAAGTAGGATGTGCTGATTTTGTCGCTTTTGTTGAGTCATTCTGAGCTATTTCATCATTGTGATGTTGAGAAGATGTGTGCGCTGCATTAAACTGATGTTGATGATAGTTAGTTTACTTTCTGTGAACTCTAAGGATCATTCTTATTTGACAAGTTTATATTTTTTATTTTGAATTCAGAGTGAATTAGATAAGATGATAGAGTTTACTCCTGATAACTTTTATACTTCAATAACAAAAAGTCAAGATAGGGAAAATAATATCACAAATGTTGAGTGTATGGATATGTAATAATAAATTGATGGCAAGTCTTTTCTAGTACGTTGATAAACAATTGAATCACGAAACTGAAACAAAGATCAAGTCCATTACTTGAGATCTGACTTGATTTCAGTCTTCTTGAGACAATCGACTAAACCTGATCCGAAAAAGTTACAAATTTAACTTCAGTTTGCAGCAACTGTCTTGATCTTGCTGATTTAATAAATATTATTAATTATATTTTTGTTCACTTAGATTTATGAATTTAAAAAGATATTTTTCTTATCATCTTTGATTGATAAACGATAAATCTTCGTCATGATTTGGTGCACCACAGTTGTATTGTTCTTATGAAAATTAAAAAGAACAGACACATTTGCTACTGCTCATTATTTTTTGTTAATAGTTAATGAGTTCAATGATTTTTATCTTATTAACGTTTTTAATATGAAAATAATGATATTTCATCTGTTTCCTTTATTTATCTTCAGATGTAGCGACCACTGTCGTTGAGGTGATATTTATCAAGCATATCAATCTGCAATTATACATCGCAGAATCAATTATTTATTGAAATCAACAGTATGTATTTTTTACATTTTATTTTCGTAAATAAATGCAAGTTCATCTAATTTCTGTTTTAAATGGAAATTTTCTTTTAAATATTTTTGTAAATCATTTTTCGCACATTTATTTTTGTTCTGAAGTCAGTTAAATTAAGATCCGGAAATACGATTTTTTTCTCCGAGATAATACTGTTTCCTTAATCCAATTTTATTTTTTTACTGTAGATTTTTCTCCTTGATGTGAATGTAAGTGTTGTGGTTGTCTCTAATCCACACTTAGATGCACATCTATACCCACCCTATCGGATTAGAAAGAATGCTGTGAACATACCACTGTTTAATATAAAGATGTCGGTTATTTCAAACTAAAATTTCAATCCGTACTTGAATTTAACTTAAGACTCAATTTGTGTTTGACATCGATTCAAAATAGAACTACACCAAGAAAGACAATAAAAAGTGAAGTTATAATGATTTTTTTTGAAGATACACAATAAATAAACTGTTCATGATTTATTTGAACATATACAAAGAAATAACCAAAGATTAGTCAAAAATATTCCAGTCTGAATCTATCAACTACAAAAAACGTGCGCTCGTCTAGTCTCTATTGCTCGAAATGTCAGAATGAAGTTACATGTTAGATTAGTATGGCTACTATTGACAAAATACTGACAAGTTCTTCGATACTACCATATAGCATTATTATTTATAAATACCTAGTGAGATTGATATCCTTTTTCCCTAAGAAATTGCTAATCGAATTTAGTAGTGAAGTGAACTTCAATCCTAACTATATAAGTTAACAGATTTTTTACACAACGCTTTAACAAAATTACTCGTTTGTGTTAAACTAATAGAAAAACTACGTGAATATTTTGTTCTAGTGCCAACCAACGCAAAATCTGTTGCTGGATTACGTAAGATAGTACGAGCTTTCTTTTTAAATCTCAATTTATTTCCATCTGTTCCACCAACTGATAATGAATATCAACTTCAAAATCAACGCATTTCAACAAGATTATTTATCTATTTAATAATTATATCATTATCTATCCTTTTTTTATATATTTCATTGATAAATACTACACAAACAGTTAATGTCAAAGCACCTTCTATCAAACAATATGAACAACTTTATAACTTATATAGTCAAACACTAATATGTGAATGCGCACAGATATCAATCAACTACGGAAAATTTATTCAAGTTCAATATACGCTACATCAAATATGTTATAGTGATTTTGTTACACAAAATTGGACAAATTATCTTACCACTTGGTCTGAAAACGATGGAACATTTTATGATAACTTTCGAAGGATGGGTACATTTGTATTTCAAGCTTTATCTACATTTTGTGCCTTAGTTGATCAAACAATATCCAATAGTTTAACTCAGTTCTATTCAAATCAATATGTAAGTGCATCTGTAACACCTTCAAATGTATTTCAACTGCAAACTGATGCATTTATATCTCAATTTAAATCAGCGACAGCTTATGGATTTTTGCTATCACTTGCTATGATACGAAAAACAACTCAAAGTAACGCTTTGCTCTCTGGGCAATTCACTAATTACAGATTCCACGATGACGATGACGGTCATTTATATACAAAATCTACACAGTATGGTGACTGTGTATGTTCTTCATTAGCTACATGCGTTGATCAATATGCAGTTGTGAATTACCCTAACTTCACGGACATATTTCCTATACCAGGTCTTTATACGGGTTGTTATATAATTGAATCATTACTTCAGTCTAGTCTTCAATGTTTTTATGATCAAGCCTGCATAGATAACATACTGTTGTACCTGGGGTCGTCAACATTTATCAACGTAACTGCTCTCAATATATCATTGTCGATCCAGTATTTGGAAAATTCAACAATCTCAGATATTCTTGATAAATTAATGGTTGAAGAATGGAGTAATTCGAGCACGTATGAAAACTATTATAGTGAATGTCAACCGGCAGGCTGTAGTTATAGTGTTATGTCGAAGAATAGTGTAATATACATTGTTACAACACTGATCGGATTAGTTGGTGGTTTGATTACAGTGTTGAAACTTACGGTGCCCATGTTAGTCAAGTTCGTAAGGAAACGCATGCACAAAGAAGTAAAAACAGAAACTGGTAAGAGATGAAAATAGCTTGAGCAGTTTTATATACAGAACATATGCGTATCTAACTAATAGAATGCAGAGAGAAAATAAGAGGCGATGTGCACGGATGGAAACATCATTCTTATAGATTTAGTGACATACCGCAAAATCACCATTTCGCCAGTGAAATTCGACATTGCATAAAATAACTGAACGGATGAAGTAGCATAAGTTTATAACATCTCTGTCATGAATATACATGATTCAATAGCCATTCTGTGACCTGTAGTCTATCGAAAGTGAGTTTTCCTGAACTAATGAGGGTAGATATGAGAAAGCACGAAATAATTTTCGTTAAAAACATTGTATGTGAAAGCTAATTTTGTTATGAAAATATCTGTAAAATATTTGACACGAGTTTATACTCGATATCGCAAAGGTATATTGCTCACTTTATAATATGTTTCTCCCTCTTGGTTTCCTTTGCATCATCTCTCTATTGCTCAGTTCTGCGTTCATCTCTTTCCTTCTTCTTCTTGTATATAAACTTTTTGGTATATTTAATGCAAAGTCACAATGAACGTATGTGGCTCGATAAACATCTATGTCTTGTGTCACACTTAATTACTCTTCCATTTTGTGTTACATATAGCTCTTTAGTCTTAGTTTTTCTTAGAGATGTTCGCGAGTTGTCTCATTTTTATCAAAACCCGGTTCGTTGGCAACCTAAACGTGTAGCTCGTATGTAGCTGATGATCTAAGTATTTGTAAGAGTTACAGGTTAACGAGTGGTTTATTGACAGTATTCTCTGTTTATGTAGGTAATGCAAACCATACAACGAAATAGAAAAGTACTCGATTGAGAAACTTCAAACAAATCAACTTATATCTCTTTGATGTCCAATAATTAGCGTAACTGTTTCTCAAAAATACTATCACAAGCATAAATAGTTCCTTCTATCCTTACACTTAAATATCACTATTCATATTAAAGTCGATAATATTCGAAGGTGTGAGTGTGTCTTTTTCATTCTCTTATATATGTATATTAGTCCTACATGAGTCACACATGATGCATGAAATTTACATAAAACAATCATTTTTCATCCCACTATATGTCACTATCTTCAAGTAAGAACAAGGCAGGGCAAAATTAGTGAATAAAATGTCACTTTTTCAACATGACATCAACAGATGTACTGCAGTAGATGTTTTACTGCTAAAACCAACCAGAGATACATCACGGCTAACTTTGATTAAATATTTGAAAGATTATTCATGTGTCCGGAGTTCGGAATATCTTAATAAATAGAAGATTGTCCAGTGTACTTTCTACGCTCTCTTAATGTTCTATCACTATACCTTTTCTATTACTCTTTCATTTTTTAAGAAACATTGGTGCAAGAACAAAACTACAGTATATTATACAAATTAAAACATTACATTTCAGCATTCAATATCTTTCCATCTGTTCCACCAACTATCGATGAATATCAACTTCGAAATCAACACATTTCAACAAGATTATTCATCTTCTTATTAATTGTATCATTATCTATTCTTCTCTTATATACTTCACTTATACATATTACACAAACAGTTAATGTTAAAGAGCCTTCTATTACAGAATATAAGCAACTCTATAACTCACACAGTGAAACATTAACATGTGAATGCACACAAATATCAATCAACTATGAAAAGTTTATTCAAATTCAATACACATTAAACCAAATATGTCATAGTGACTTTGTTAAACAAGAATGGATCAATTATCTTGCCACATCGTCTGGAAACAATGAACTAGATTACATTGACTTTCGAGTAACTAGTACATTTACATTTCAAGCCTTATCTACATTTTGTGCCCTAGTTAATCAAACAATATTAAATCGTTTAAGTCAGTTTAATTCAACTCAGTATGTAAGTGCATCTATAATACCTTCAAATGTATTTCAACTACAAACTGATGCATTTATATCTCAATTTAAATCAGCAACAAGAAATGAATTTTTGCTATCACTTGCTATGATACGAAATACAACTCAAAGCAATAATTTACTCTCTGGAGAACTAAATAATTTCGAATTCTATGTAACAAAAAGTTACGGTGTAGATATATCTACACGTACGTATGATAATTGTGCGTGTGATTCATCAAGCACGTGCATTCTTCAATATGCAATTTACGATTTAGTCAACCAAGATAAGATATTATTCGTTGTTCCGGGTCTTTATACGGGATGTTATATAATTGAATCATTACTTCAGTCTGATCTGCAATGTTTTTATAATCAAACCTGCATCAATAAACTTCAATCATATTTTCAAGTATTTTCACTTATGAATATAACAGCTCTTGATATATCATTGTCGGATCAGTTTTCGGAAAACTCAACAATTGGAGATATTCTTAATCAATTGATGGTTGAGGAATGGATCAATTCAAGCATATATGAAAACTATTACAATGAATGTAAACCGTCAGGCTGTAGCTATACAGTTACGACAAAGAATAGTGCAATATACATTATTACAACTCTGATTGGATTAGTTGGTGGTTTGATTACAGTATTGAAATTTATAGTACCATATTTGGTCATGTTGGTTAGAAGAAAAAAGAAATTCCCAAGAACAGAGACAGGTACGATCAAATTAGAAATAGTTTTGTGTATATAATAGAAGGTAATAATGTGAGAAGTAAACATTTATTTTTGGCTAAACAACGCACTGATACCATTAATGTTTTTACTTTTATTGAACTTTCGACTCGGAAGTTCCGAGACATTATTGCATAATTTATGAATATATGAGTCAGAGTAAAAATTGAGATATATATCCCATTATTAATAGAGTACTCTGTGCTAATTGTTCATTTCTGCCGAGCAACTTTATCATATGAACTATATAGTTTAAATTTCTTGATCTTCTGCAAAGTTAATGAATATTTGAACTCTGAGAAAAGTATTCAAGTTTGACATCATATATAAAGTCTCTTTCAGATATAGTTGCAATATTACATTAGCAAGTTTAACAAATATATTTTTTAAGAAAAATATCGACGATATATTATCTTCTTTATCTCTATAATTCTTTGAACGATCTATTTTTATAGCTTTCTTGTTCTATATTTATGGATGTGTAGAGATCAATCGAGAATGGATTTTTAAATAAGTGTTTAACGATTTAATTCTATTTTTCATTTGATTTTGAAAGCAATCACAAACATTTTCATGAATTATTTTTTGTTGATTTGTGTAAGAGTGAGGGTTTAAATGCGTGTGTGACTGATAAACTTAACAATTACATGTTTACACAATCATCTGTACCTTTATCTCCCACATAATACATGTTGTAGTTCGTAGAGCGCAGAGTGAAGAATCATATTGTTAGTCCTGTACGCCAACACTCCTTAGAATTCTTTTTCACAGGAAAAACACTTGTTTCTTCTATATATAAAAAAATGCTTATTCCTATAATTCTTGTTAAGTAATGAGCATCAATGAACGCGTTCGAACATTATACCAAAAATCAAAGGTTTTCTTTTTAAATCTCAATTTATTTCCATCTGTTCCACCAACTATCGATGAATATCAACTTCGAAATCAGCGCATTTCAACAAGATTATTTATCTTCTCAATAATTATATTATTGTCTATTCTTCTCTTATATACTTCACTTATACATATTACACAAACAGTTAATGTTAAAGAACCTTCTATTACAGAATATAAGCAACTCTACAACTCACACAGTGAAACATTAACATGTGAATGCACACAAATATCAATCAACTATGAAAAGTTTATTCAAATTCAATATACATTACATCAAGTATGTCATAGTGATTTTGTTAAACAAGACTGGATCAATTATGTTGAGAGCTCAATTGGAAGCTATACTTTACCTATAATTGATTTCCGAGCGACAAGTTCATCTGCATTTCAAGCCTTATCTACACTTTGTGCTCTAGTTGATCAAACAATATCCAATCGTTTAATTCAGTTCTATTCAAATCAATATGTAAGTGCATCTATAATACCTTCAAATGTATTTCAACTACAAACTGATGCATTTATATCTCAATTTATATCATCAACAACAAATGGAACTTTGCTATCACTTGCTATGATACGAAACACAACTCAAAGTAACAGCTTATTTAGTGGTGAACTAACTAATTATCGCCTTTATGAATCGTACTTTGTTATTTTTCGAAGTCCAAAGTCGTACGGTAATTGTACGTGTGATTCTTCAGGCACTTGCATTAGTCAGTCTCCAATTTACGATTTAATCAACCATGTTAAGATATTATTCGTTGTTCCGGGTCTTTATACGGGATGTTATATAATTGAATCATTACTTCAGTCTGATCTGCAATGTTTTTATAATCAAACATGCATCAATAAACTTCAATCATATTTTCAAGTATCTTCACTTATGAATGTGACAGCTCTTAATATATCATTGTCGATTCAGTTTTCGGAAAACTCAACAATTGGAGATATTCTTAATCAATTGATGGTTGAAGAATGGATCAATTCAAGCATATATGAAAACTATTACAGTGAATGTCAACCATCATATTGCAGTTATACTGTTACGACAAAGAATAGTGTAATATACATTATTACAACCCTAATTGGATTAGTTGGTGGTTTGATTACAGTATTGAAATTGACGGTGCCATATTTGGTTAAGGTTATTATGTTTTGTATTACAAAATGCAAACGTAGATCTGCCACAATAATGCCAATAGGTCAAACATAATTGATTTTTACGTTGTTGCGAAACACATTGCAAATGAAAAACTTTGATGTACAATGAAAACACTGAAACTATGATGATTTTTGATAGAAATATTAGAAGGTGATTTATATTATCTTCTTCATTTCTTTCACGTATATCTTCTCTTTCTATTATCTTCACATTTTGTGATCTTTATTCTTTTTTTTCATATTATTCAGCTTCTGTTTTTTGCTCGTTTCATCATTTCGCTCGTTTCATCATTTCGCTCTCATTGTTATCATTTCATTATCTTTCTAGTTGCTTCAGTTTGTCTTTGTAATACTGTCTAGCCATTGCTCAGCTTCACATTTGTTCGTATGCAATATATATAATGCTGATTTCGTTTTAATAAAAAGATCAGCACACACCAATCTTTACTTATCTATTGACTTAGTCACTTATAGTGCTTCCGACTTGTTATAAAGAGGACACACTCACAAGAAAAAAGATACAATTTAGGGTGTGATCTCTGAAGAACATAATACCCACATCCACACTTCTATTCCTGTTTTCGAAAATTTATTTGAGCGTCAATTTTAGTTTCGATAATGGTCTACATAAAGGGTAAGTATGGAATGACGATCGATACCACACTCATACCCTCGATTCTCTCAAATAAGGTCGGGAGTAAATATACCGAAGCTGAAAAAGCGGAAAGTATCCCAGGTGATTCAATCTCACCTTTAGATCCCACGAGAAACTATTGTATTAGCTATCGGATCTTGTTATAAGTTGTCGGATCTCCAATGAAAACCGAGCGAAATCCAAATGAATTTTACAGGAATCCGATATAGCGCATTACGGATCGAATCACGTCGGAAAAAATCATTTCTACAATCTTATAATAAATCTTCTACGATAATGACTAGTATGTAGATGTTCCAGATTAAAAGGATTTAAAAAAATAATAGAAATATTCAAAAAGAGGACTTGTATATATAGATTGATCTCTACAAAACAAAACGGTGAATGTAATCTAGACAAAATCGAATTTCTAGATTTTTAAGATTTTATTCGAAATTCCTTAATTAAATTAATCACAAAGAGATTTAAAAATGTGTTTGAAATCTCTGTATAATAATGTAGTGAATTTTCATGATTAATATCAAGATCATTCCAACATTCTAATCAATCACATGAGTTGTTCATAACCTCAGCATCGTCCATATTGCTATTTTCTACTGGATTTATATTGTCAAGATCATCTCGATATGCCATAACATTTTCTTCTATTTACTTTTTTAATAAATAATTATTTTTTACATTTGTTGTTATTTTTGATTCTACATCGATATAAAGTTGTAATGAAGAAATAATATCAGTTAATTCATTATTATCTGATATTTGTTTGTAATGAAAGTTTACGTTTTTTCTTGCTATTTTCATAATATTTTAGTGATCTTTTAGAATTTCTGTTTTCAACAAAATCAAGAGTTAGCTCGAGCTCAAAATCCATATTGAAAATAAGGATAGAGACTTTAAATAAAAAAATAATTAAAAGGTTATAACTATTTCATTACCGATATGTTTATGTTTATATATCTAAGCTAACTGAAAAACAAAACAAACTATTCAACATAGTAATAGAAATCTTGGTCTTTTCATTACGGAAACACACATTCAAAATTTCCAAGTTTTATAGGAGGCATATCTTCCAATCAGTACACGATACACAGATGTCCCTAGATCAAACGAATGTAATTTGAAAAAGAACTTTCAAAACAGAAAAATGTTTTCGTAAATATCGACTTTTTTTCACATCTCTTTTAAAAATTCAATATGAAGGCAACTGACTTTGATTTATCAAGAATTAGTAAAGAAATAATATATAAAGTTTTTAAATTGCACGTAAATAATCTATAAAAGTAGTAAAATATTTACATGAATATGACTCATGCATAATCGACTAGGTTTGTTTTGTGAGAATCAATGTACAACTCATCATAAATTCTCATAAAACAATTTTCACAAAATATCATTTTGATTTTAATAGCTTTTGAACTATTCTAACCGATTATTAAGATTATTCAACTAAAATCGATTTCTAATAATCAATGATAATAAAATCATATTTTCTTACTTTTTTCATGCGACGACAGTGCTATTACTAATGGAAAACAAAGTGATCTCTACCAACACAAAATAAGTTGAAATTAATGAACTCATTGGAAATTATAAAAGTTTATGAAACTAAGAAATCAGTTTTCCCCCGTCATCATCACGCAAAAGTTTAATTAGTTTTAAACGCTACCTTTTTTTTGTCTCACTTGAGTTGTTTAATATGGAAACAATTATTATCTCGATATACGACAGCTATTTTATAGTTGCTTACACTTGATAATTGCTTTCATCGCTTATACAAATAATGCTATGTCATTCATTCAGTTCGATTTTGTTCAATAAAACATAGCAGAATGAGTTAATAATTCAACTATCGAATACTATTTCTTTTACAGATCGCTAGCTATTACGATGAATCCCATACATAGTCTTCTGATTATTTATTGGATAACACAAAATCGTATATATTCAACCTGGAGAGAGAGAAAAGTCATTCTTGATTATCAACTAACATATTCAATGCAATAGCAATCTAAATAAAATAAAGAAATAAAACAAAATTTAACCCAATTATTTTATCTTCTGCTAACTTCTTTTTGTGTCATAGGATTAATTATCAAATTTTTCTACTGCATTCATCCATTTATATTTAATTCATTTGAAAAGACCAGAATTCCATTATCATTCGTAATCTACAACATATAAAAAATACGTCATCTAAATCAAAGAAGAACGTCTGACTCGCTGAAAAATCATTTATAACATAATTAAGAATTGTTCCTAATCACCGATGTAACATTGCATCATCAATTTTGCGTATTTTTTTGAGCACGTTAGCTCGTAGTTTACATGGAAGGACTCATAGAACAAACATGTTGTAATTTATAATATCGTCGGAAAAATGAAATGTTTCATCATGTCAACATTCATGATTCAGAAAAAAGTAGCTATTTACTTTTGATAAACACGTTTATGATACTGGATGAAAATATATCATTTCATAAAATAGCACCTGACAATGTTTTTGTTTTTCTTATCACTTAACCTTCACATGAAATATAAAATGATGTCATATCATATATATATTTTTCAAATTTTATTCTTTCTGGGTAATTTATTTTTATAATTCAATAACTAAATCTACATTTCGATTGGAATAAAATGTAACAAAACTCTCTATTACTATATTATTTTTTTTAATTCGTTGATCGGAAATGTATCTGAAGTATAAATAATAACAAAAACAAAGTATAAAAAAATATACTAACACAATAATATAAATATATATTACATTCTCGACAATAAAAATACAAAATATATTATGCAATTGATTGTCAACTTAACTATGTTCGTATTCTTCGAGAGGTTTCATTGTACCTGCAATGATTGAGTCATATAGAAAATCTTCACGATAAAATGATTGGTACTAAAAAAAATAGAACAGTAAGAAGTAAAATAAAAATATTATAAGGTAATAATATTAACTTACAGTCATATTTTTATAAGCTTGTAATTCCATGGATGGAGTTACTGCTTCCATCTCATCGAGTGAACAAATGACTATATTAGGTGGATCATATTTACTGCCGTCAAAATAAGCGTAGGCAAGAGCTTTTTTCGATGTTTTTTTACCATGTGAAGCTAATTCATTTTCTATAAAAAGAAACAATTGGAATGATAAAAATATTTTTTTCTCGATTAATAAAAATGTTAACTTACTACAAACAGAACCACCGAATCGATGAATAAGTGTTTCAATTGCTATAGGTGTGTCAGTCATTTGACCAATAAATGCAAATTTAGAATCATTGAATATTCTAATAAAAGAAAATGATCAATAAAAATATAACTGTTAAATAATGAATTTTTGTTTTACTTTTGATCTTTCACTGCAACAGCTTTTTTATATAATTTACCAATTTTATTCAATTTCTTTTTGATTACTTCTTTAGTTATACCATGGGGCTAGATAAAAAGAAATTAATAAAATAGATTTTATTATAATTAATATAAACATACTGTATATTTAAATTCTCCAGGATTAACTTTATAATGAACAATATATTGTGGAAGAATATAATCACTACGAAATATAACTAATTCTTTTTGACAAGGTGAACAATGTGAATCAAAACCCTAGAATTGCACAAGAAAAATAAATTTTAAGAGATAACAATTAGATTAACTTACATGTTGAAGACCAGCACCATTAATCAATTTAGTACATTTATAGACCTATTAAACAAAATCAACAATAAATATTCTTCTCGTATTCTTTGAACTCTTACTTTTCCTTGTAATACTTGACATAATAACAGTTTTGTTGAACCTTGAATATATCCCATTGAATAACCAGGATATTCCTAGAATAAAAATATATATGTATTTAGATTGAGTTATTTAGTAATTTAACTTACACTGAAATACGTTCCACGTCCATAGTATCCACTATCGGTAGCATGTTTAAATCCTTTTTGACCTTGAAAATAAATTTAGATCACATGAGTTTTTATTTTCGTATAATTAATTCTACTAACCAGGTATTTTAAAGCCAGTTTCACATATTGGTTGAATATTAGCAACAGCTGTACCATGAAATGCCAAAACGGGATACGAATATTCTACACCACGTTGTTCTTTTAATTCATCACGTGCTTTACTAAATAAGATAAAGAATAGAATTTATTATTTTCAATGACTCACTAAATACATACTTGAAGTTCTTGATCAATACTGGATTGCATACGTATTCAACTTTCGTTACTGATGCTCTACAAATAAATGAATATTTTTAATACATCATATCAATGAATTATAAACTATGCAACTAACTTTATGATATCAGTAATAAAGTATCATTAGAGATATGCAAGGTAGAGTTTTTTTCAAACTCCTTTACTCTATCTAAGAAATTTTTTCTTATGTTTTCTCTATTGTACAACGGTTTTTCTTATTCGCCTTTATTTTTACTAGTTAAAAGAGTTCGAATATGATTACATTCATATATTTACAGAATCTAAATACTTGGATATATTGATCTAGTTTAATCAACCAATTTAATATAGATTCATCTTTTTGTAATCTTGTGAAAATGATCAGGTATTGAATAATGATATATCTGTATCATAATTTACTTTATTGCTTAGTTCTCAATCTTATTCTATTCTCGATACTAACTTACCTAAATCATTTTCTACACTATTATTCTTTGCAAAATATCTCTTTTTACTGTTCTCTATGCTGTATAGTTCTATTTGTCACTAGTAAACTTGTATACGGTTGAACATCCATATTAAGAAAATGAATAAACGGTTGAAAAGAGTTCACTTCCTACAGTTTACATACGGTTCGCAATAAGATAAAGAAAAGATTTCAAAATATTTACTTATGTATGACTCTTACAAGAGCGTAGATATGCAATAGTTTTTAGAGATTTCTTACGAAACTGTTGATTTTCAGAAGAAAAGCTAATACTCAACAAATTAGTCGATATATTACTATATGATATAACTCTTAACAAAAGTAAATATTAAAGTCTCAATCTCTATTAAATATCGTTATATACGAAAAAACTACGGTGTCATGAATTCAAAATGATGATTATAATAACTGTTGGAGCAGCACTATTTGAGATCGAAATAGACGAAAATAAAATAAAATGCACAAAAGAATTCAAGTACCTAGGCTCCTAGATAAAACTGGAAATAAGTTAGGGTAATTTGATAAAAAGTCCATATTAAAAATAAGACAAACATTACTAATGATTAATTCAGTTACACTTGATGATAAGATGTCTTTTCCTCTTAAAAGAGCTGTTTTCTCCGAGCATTTTAGCATTATTCACCTGGCTATATCCACTGTTTACTACACATATTGTTCTGTCTAGGTTGGAGCAACTATTACTTTGCTTACGATTTAAGAGATTAAACTTCTCCAAAACTTCCCCAGATCGTTTCTTTATTGGACATTGTGAAAGATGTTCAAACAACTAACAAACGTATCTTTTCATCTGGGTGTGAATGTGGATATGAATACTGTATTCACCTAGAACCGGTACCCACACCCACACCCACCCATGAAATATCGAAAACTTATTTAATCTGAGTATCTATACAACACGGTTTATAACTAAACACCCACACCCTCAATTGAATGACAGAAGAGCTTTTTTATTTAATAACTTACGTAGCATAGCCACTCAGCAGACGATAAAATTGTGATTCGGCAAGACGAAAATGTACTTCATCAGCAGAACCTATATGATACATATATAAATAATATGAAATAAATAAATTTTACAGTAAGAAAGTATACCTTGTTTATATTTGCGTTCTGGAAAAAGTTCAAAATATTTGACAGTAGTACCTTTAAGTACTTCTTCTTCGCCTTCCATCAGTAAACTACCTTCAGTAATCTATAAACAAATGATTTTTATTAAAGATGAACTAAAAAATAAAAATAATATACTTTAGTTTGAAGTTGTTCAACTTCTTTTTTTCTTTCTTCAGCTTCTTCTCGAGATTTTTTTAATTTTTCTTGTAATTGCTCTTTTAATTCAAATGCCTAAAAATTTCTTAGTTTAATATTTGTAATCAACTTTGAATCATACTTACTCTTTCGATCATTAAACGTTTTTCATCATCGTTCATTTTAGAAAATGTTTTTTCAAGTTTAACATCATAAGCACTTTCCTACAGAAAATATATTTTCGATTGAATATCTATATATAAATATTTATCATTAGCTTACATCATCTGAATTGTATTCTTCAGTTTTATCTCCATCATCATATTCTTCACTTTCTGCTTTACGTTTTTTACTACCACCAGTTGTTTGTAATTTTACATTTGATTCATTTATATCTTCTTCATCACTACTATCCATATCTGGATTGAGAAGATTGAATGGATGGCTGAATTCCGCAAAATGAAGTAAATTTTTCCGATAACATGTAGCACCAAATGGACATATAGACAATGTTTTGTTATTAGCTAAATAGAATTAAAATTAAGTTCTAAAACGTTTATATGAATTATTAACGAACTAGGTTGAATTTCTATTGTAGTGGTTGTCGTCAATGTAGGATCAGAATGTGAAAATTGTTTAAAATGCTCAGGGTTTTTACGATAACATGTAGCACCTAAAGAAAGGAGATGATAGAAGAGATAGAAGAAAATAAATCAATAAATTACCATAAGGACATTGAGGTAGAGCTTCTAGTTTAGCTTTCTTAGCCGCACGTGTAGACATTATAACCTACTAAAATCTACAAGAGATAAAAAGAGCCAATTAAAATAGAAAGAGCAAAAACTTCATTTTCTAAACTGATGAAGATATCAGACAGATTAGAAGTGTGTAAATCAAAAGAGAAAGCACAGCACTCTAGTACTCCGAATCATAGACTAGGACGATGATTTCTGCTGAAAAACGACTGAGAAATCTTAAGAAAATGATACTAGAATCTCGTTCTTCTAAATACTCATACATGTGTCGGATGATAATAGCTTATCAGTAAAGGACGTTATAACCTATAAAAACTTAATAGGCCTTGTCACTTTAGAAAAGACAGTCTAAAATATGTTTAGCTTAACTTAATACGTACGTTTTTATATGAAGAAATGAAACGCTTATCGTTCTAAGAACTACAATAGTTAATAGCATATGACTGATAACTACACACCTATTAGTTCTCTTCATCATAGAAATAAGAGAAAAGAAATTAAATACTACGAACGTGTCATAATAAAAACAACTTTACTTACCAAAAAAAAATGAAAACTCATCGATGTATATGCCATTTATATAATGAAATCTTGCACCACAGGTTACAAAAACTGTGCAATACCTTTTTCTAACAGGTGACTATCGCAAATGTCTATCATTGCTTTCTTTTTTCAACCAATCAAAAACTTTCAATAATCCTTCGTTATTTAATTGGTCTCTTTGAGTTTTCAAAATCATCACACTCGTTATATTTATTACATTTAAATCTAAACAATCTAATGAGTGAAAAAGTAATTCATAGTTTTGAAGGCACCTGTCCATTAACACATTACGGAATCTATGGAATTAAAAAAGGGTAAAAAAATTAAATTAAAATTTTAAAATTTTTAACTTTTTTTTTAATTCAAGTTTCAATATGCCAAATTTTCCTTGTGTTGACAAAACAGAACATATATCACTTAAAAAACATCTTATGTATAAACACAATCTATCAAATACTGCTGGTATACAAAAATTTTCTTTTCTTTATAAATAATAAAAATTCTATTTTTATTTTAATTAGCAAATAAAATTGTACTTGACCGTATGAATACAATAAATGTTGATCGAAAGAAAAAATCTTCATTAATATTTCATAGTACACAAGAATTATTTTCACATTCCGTTCATTGGCATAAAGGTCAATGTCCATTTTCTTATGGTTTTAATAATGTTTATAATCTAACATATTTAAATCATAATATAAAAAATTTTGATTGTCGTCATAGAAAACATTGTTTACTATTATCACATTTACGTGTATCACATAATTTAAATATAAAATCAGCAAAGAAAATTGTCAAAGCAATTATGTCATCATCAATTGAATCGAAACAAAAATCTTCAATTGAAAATGATATTAGAGAAATAATTTTATTTCAAAAAGATGATATTGTTTTAAATACAAATCCGTATGTTAAATTTCAAAAAACAAAAAAATTTTTTTTATGACAATTTTTCTTTTTAGAAATATTTATAATGATGATCGAAGATTTCGACATTATTGTCCATTAACGAAAAGTGAATTTATTCATGAACAACCATTATTTAATATACCTTGCACGAAAATCAATGAAAAATTTCTTCTTTTTGCCCATCTTCAGTAAGTTATCATTTATAATACTTATTTTATCGAAAAAGAACATCAAATAGTAGTTTTTCATTAAACTTTGTAATCCTGCAAGCTATAAATCTAATTACAGGATTCGCTAGAAGCTGGTAGAAATATTAATTTCGGTACTTTTTGACTAGAGCACATTGCTTCCATACAAGCACGTCCGCAGAAATTTTTTTCAGGAGGATTGACGACTTTGTAGGAAAATTTATTGCTGAAAAGGTTATTTGAAATTTCTAAAAATTCTTCGTGCTGTACTCCCCTCCAGGTATTTTAATTTTTTTTTTGGAAGGGGTGATCCAAAATCACACTCGTATGTCAAACATGAGCACTGAGTCTTTTCTCCCTGTATAGACATTACCATCAAATGAGTGGTGAAGTTGCTCTTCGTCTAATACGTGCTATTCGAACCGGTACGGAATCAACAGTAATCAATGATATATTTCAAAACAGTACAAATCAACAGTCAACTACGTCAATAATACCGTCCAATTCTTCAACTTTAAAGAATACAACGATAGCCGATGAAATTGATATTGTACCTTATAAATGTTTATGTCCATATACAAATAATTTAAATGATGGAAATACCAATTTATTAAAAACTCATTTAAAAAAATTTACAAAATTTGTCAAAAACATTCCGTGTGATCGTCCATGTGCAGTAAATCTCTATCGACATCTTCGAAATTATCATAAAGTTGATTTACAACATGCTAAAGATATAACACGTACAATTATGCTAGCAAAAACGATAAAAACTGATGATTTAGTACAAGAAAATATTAAGAAAAGAATAAAATTTCCAGTAAGAAAAGAAATTTCAGGAAAAGTTCACCGTTATTTGTTTTTTCTTTAGAAGGTAACAAATGATTATAACACAACAATCCCTTTAGGTATTCATATGGATTTACATAGTACGAAATTGGAAGAGAAAAGTATAAGATATATGTCTAATAATGAAATTTGATATAGTTTATAAATTGAATTTTTTAGATGAATCAATTGATTTTCTTATTGGAAATGAAAATCCTGATGAATGGGTAATAAAATTCATTTAGAAAAAAAAAACAGAAAAATTTCTTTTCTTTAGGATGTATCAATGATTAATGATGAAGAATCACTTTTTCTTTCATTTGATGAAGAAGGATTACATGATAATAACATTGAAAGAGACTTTTAAATATATATATCTATTTTGTGTTTAATTATTCTACGTTTTCCAAGCTTTATGAACAGTCTCTGTGAGACGTGCGGTTCTAATCAGTTTTGCACATATCTATATATTATTATTTTTTGGTTCATAATGAATTGAACATGTTATTTTGCTTTTCGTATGCTTAATTCTAAAAATGAAACAAAAAAAAATATATATTTTTTTTTAATGTTTTAATTTAACCATAATTCGCATATTGAATACCAGTTTGATCTAAAGAGAAGATTATGAGTTCGATGAGAATATCTAATAAATAACTTACAGGCTTCAATACGTGCTGTAGATTCTTTTTTAAATTCATCTGTGAGCTTTTTTTTCATAAGTTATCTCTTCATTAATTCCTTCGATATCTAAAGAGATGAAAGATCTTTGTTTAGTATTAAAGAAAAAAAGAAGATATCTACAAAGTTGTAATTGAATGAGTGTTAAAGTTTTTGGGTCAACATAACCATTTGATTTGAAATTACGAAGAAAAGTTGAGTGAGAAATAGTTTGTGGATGTTTAGCATTTGATTTTAATGCTAAAAATAATTAAGCTTTTATTTCTACTAATTTGACTAAACTTACTTTTGTGTGCTAACGATATACCTTGATTATCTACAAATAAAAAGTGTATCTCTAATATTATAATTTTTTTCATACAAGTATTAATACGTGCATTTGAATCATTCTGAATTCTTTCAAGATTATTTTCTTCTATATTAATTACTAATTAAACAAAAATTAATATTTATTTATTTTTGAAATCTTTTTACATCGAAGTATTTCTCTTTTATAATCATTAAGTTGTTCGATACTTAATGATTTAGGATCCATACAAAAGAAATCATCTAAATGAAATATAAGGTTTTTTTTTTGTCTAATGATAACTTTACTTCGACCATCCAAAGAAATAGGAAATGATTTCGGTACTTTTGATGATAATAAAGGTAACATAATAGTAAAATGAAAGATATTAGAATAATAATTGAAAAAAAAAGAGCAATCTTTCTACTTAGTAACGAAAAGTAAATAATTTGATATTTTCTTTTCTTTTCAGATGGAACAATTTATTGAAAGACTTGATACTGTTCTTGATAATGATCCATTCAATGATATTGATTGGAGTTTATTATCACAAAATGATTCTGAAGTTCGTTAATTTGAACAAATTTTTTTTTGAAAAAAAACTTTTTTCTTTTAAAGTTATTAGAAAAATATCGTTCAAAATATGTTGAAGATCGAAAACGAATACGAGAAGAACGAAAAACAAAAAATGTAAATTAAATTAAATCATATATTTTTGATAAGATCTTGTTTTAGTTCGAAGAAATAATGGAAGATCTTCTTCAAGAATTATCCAATAAACCTGATATCTCATCATTCTATCGTACACTTGATGAACCATTATTAACAATGGTAAATTAAATATCTTTTGAAATAATTCAATTTTCTCTTTCTGTTTGAAAAGAATTCAATTACAAAAGATGTCCATAAAATTGAATTAGATACTTCTGATGATGAACAGGATGATCTTGAACATTGTACAACATGGATTGATCCAAGTAAAAGTATTGGTCGATCGACACATACAGATGAACTTAAAACATCAACATATGTTGTTTATCCATTAACAAAATCTCCAGAAAGAAAAATTCAACGTTATACAGGTCAACCACGTCGAAATACATATACACTTCAAAATTCATCTTCGGACGATGATCAACAATTAGTTAATACAAAACAGGAATATGTTCGTCTTGATAGTGAAGGTTTTGATCCACAACAACAACAACATGAAAATCCATTTAATAATGTTAAAGATGCTCGATCAACATTCTCAATTCCACAAAAACGTTATCGATACACTCATCGAGTACATGAAATAACTATTATAATTCTTTCATCTAGTTTTTATAATCTATTCTAGGAAGCACAAGATATTCTTTATAAGAAATTAGGAGCTTTTATCAAAGGCTATCTTACACGACAATTATTTCGAACAGAACATGTTCAACGATTAATGCATACATTACATGTAAGACAAATTTCTTTATCTTTCTCCTTCATTTTCTTTTTCTTATTAAAGGATACACAAAAATTTGCTGTTGATTTTCAAACAGAATGTTTACAAACAAAAACTAAACTTGATCCAGATGATATTAATATCATTGATCAATTAATTAAACAAGTATATTAGATAATATATATCAATTATGTAATTCATTTTAATAAATTTAGGTTCAATCAGTTTTGGATGAAATTCATGCTATATTTGGACAATATTCATCAGCTCGTCAAATATCAATGATTGTTCGACATGGACAATTACGACAACTTCGAACAACAAGAGTTCGTTTTATAAAAAAAAAATTTCAATTAAATTGAGAATAATTTTCGTTTTGAAAATTTAGACAAATCAACGAATAGCAAAAACTTTTTCTACGGAACGACCTATAATTGATCCATTACCAGTTTCAACTGTGAAAAATGATAATGTTTCAAAACAATCAGTAAGACGACCAGAAAATATTCGTCGACATGTCTCAGCAGCACCCATTCGTTCTGCTCCATCGACAACAAATACTCGAACACGTCCATTGAAAAAAGCCACATCTGTACAAAGAAAATCTCGTCCATTGAATACAAATAATAATGAAACCACCTCAAGTACATCAATGTTTCTTCTTATCTTATTGTATTTTATTCATTCATCTTTTCTTTATTTAGATCCACCACGTTCATCTTCTGCCAATAATAATAATAATAATAATAATCATAACATATTTCGTCCTCCGTTGCGCCTTGCGCCAGCCAGTCCTATGTTCAGAAATCGTTTAAAATAAATGTGTGTGTCAAACAGACAACCTGATGTTATATGCGTGCAATATTTGCTCGGAATAATAACAAATTGCCCGTTGTATATATGTATATCATCTCAGTTAGAAAGAAAAGCATGCACGATTGCTGTTTCACTTATCACATTATGCATAAACTGTGCACGGTGGCATCAGCTACAGCTTGTTCAAGTTAGAACGATGCATTATAGAAAGAATAATAAAAAATATCAACACCAAATGTTCTGATTGTCTAAAGAAGAAAAATTTAGATATAAAACGAATTTTATATTTGTTCTATGTCCTAGAAAAAAGGTCGATAAGAACAAATGACACTTCTTCCCACATGATACGATTGATCTTTTTTGTCCTTGATATATATATACGTGTACACTACTTGTTGATCATAAAACAACAAAGTCACTTGATTCTTGTTAAGATCGATGAATTGAATTGAAACTATATAAATGATGTAACTTAAAATTATAAATCTTAATTTAACATGGTGTTCGTCGAAGACCTAAATGATCAAATTTCACGTGTGATACAAGGTTCTGAAAGTATGCATACGTATATATATATATATGCAATTTAAAGGTCAATTATCATGTCATCATATGCAGAAGAAAAGAAAAGAAAAGAAAGTGACTCGCCTATATACATTACTCTATCATCTACAATAATAAATGCAAACTATTGAACCATTGATTTCCTCTTTTCATTTTTCTTGTTGTATTTCAATAATTAATTTTCTTACGAGCAACAAAAAAAAAAAGAAATCAATTTAAAATAGGTGTCAAAAATTTCTTTTTTTAATTGACTTCGATAATAGAAAAGTGACAAAAGAAGTAAAAGAGACACCTGCTAAAATTATTGATCAATCATATGTTCTTCCTTAAGTGAATATCGTTGTCTTTTATTAATCTTTTTTTTTTGCATTCATTTAGTGAGTAATGCCATTAGCCAAAGGTTTATTTTCTCTTAACAAATACATCAAGCAAGCGATAAAGAGAGAGAGAAAGAAAGCAGAAGAGAAAGAGAAAAGGAGCAAGTTGCTCAGCTTGTCATAATCCCCTTTTTTTTCTCTCTCTCTTCGCGTTCATTCATTTATTCATTTTAGTTAGTAACATGCGACCATTAGTTAACAGATAGTATATTATTTCAATTTTTATTAAACAATGGTTATTATAATTAATTAAATTATGAATTCAACAATAAATTATTTTTTATGTAAGTTTTTTCTTTTTCTTTTTTTTTTTGTTTCTTTCATTGTGTTCATTCAATTGATAAGATAATATATGAGTCTGTCATTGTCTAAACCGATAATGAAGGCTCTCACTTTTCGACACTTCCCTATTTTTGTTCCTGTGATAACTAGACATCTGTACAATTCATCAATGTCTCTGTTAGTGAGAAGATGAGCAACAAAACTAATTGTGATAGATGACTATATTGTCTTCGTTATCTTGTCACATATAGAGGTTCGAACTTAATTAATCCATATCATTTCGAGGAGAATAGAGTTGAGCTCAGTTGATGTGTCTTATTCTCATATATATATATATATATATAAAAGGTTAATTCTATATGAACAAAAAAAAAATGCCACGAATATTTTGTTTGTACGATTGACCCTTCGTTTACATTGAGTCTTGTCATCATTAGCCATTATATGCAATGCTGAGTAGAATCAGTAAACGTGAGCGGATCAACTTTATCTCTTTTATCCATTGTTTATTCTCTTTTGTTTTTTAGCTATCCAACTAATGATAATGATTCATGGATTGATAGCAGCTGTTATATCAAGTAATTTTCCTCGAATTTTAACTCAAACACATAATCAAACATTGAATATATCTGAAACAGCTATATTAAGATGTCATGTTAAAAATCTAGGTAATAATCATGTAACATGGCTTAAATATGATTCAAAAAATGGGAACATATTTACCATTAACTGTTGATGAACAAGTTTTTTATTCTGATAAACGTTATTATGTTTCATCATATTCAACATCAGAAGATAATTCATATTGGAATTTAGAAATTTCAAATTTACAAATAGCTGATGAAGGTATATATGAATGTAAAATATCGAATCGTCATGCAAGTGTATCCATTAAAATTCATTTACAAGTACAAATACCTATGACAATAAAACCTGCCCGTTTATATGTTGAACCAGGTTCATCAGTTGTATTAGATTGTTCAATTTATAATATTAATACAACAAATCTAACATGGCATTTTTCAAGTTTAAATCAAACATTTAAATATAGTTATCCTGATACATATGAAAAACATCAATATAAACAAAATATAACAACATTAAAATTAATTATTCCTCATGCTAAACCATATCATACTGGTTTATATACATGTGTATATGATAAAAGACAAAGAAGAAGTGCGAAACTTTTTGTTGAAAAAGGTTTGTTGACATAAAACAGATAACCAGATATTTACGATACATTTCTTCATTAATATTTAAATATCAAGGTTATTTAAAATAATTCTTTTATCTGTTTTTCTAGGCGCAGTACAATATTATCAACAGCAACGTCTATTATCGAATAATTATTCTTCTTCCTCCTCTCCTTCTTCTATTCAATGTACCATGAGTCTGATCTTATTTGCACTTCTCCTTGGACATCATATGACCCACAGAATATGACACACATACGCATATATATATATATAAATTCACATTCTTAATCATCAATGAACAGTATGCATCAACAGTCAAATCAATCGACATATATGTGTGATGTATGCGTATCTAACAATACTTATTATATGTTTTCTTTTTTTTTTGTTTTCTTGTTCTTGATAAAAACGATCGACAGCTAATAGATTTTTTTTAATGTTGCGATAACAATTAATAATGAGAGAAGTTGTCGAGACACTAGTTATAGTCAATTATCGCCGCAGGGAGTCTTTTGCTTCTTATGTCTGAAGTAGAGAAAAAAAAAATAGGTAAAATAGATTACTATTTAAATATATATGAAATTATTTAACCTAATTAAATGAACAAACGATATTTGCATAAGTGAAAATGTGTTCTTTTCCATGATGCAATCATATGTTTATACTGTCATGTTAATTCACTTATCGATTTATAAGATTTAAATTTTTTGTATTTGCACAGATGTATAAATGTGCCACGCGTGTCAATTGTTCATATATATTGAAACAATAGAATGAAGAAATAATGGGCGGATGGATAGATAACAATGTCAACAAAGTGAAAAAGCTGATATTAAAATTGGATTTTCTTTCCAGATGTTTCAAGGATTTTGTTTCACTAAATGTATATTTATTTTCTGGATAATAGAAATGAATATTGAAAATTGTTTAACTGATTCATTTCAATAAATGACAGCTGCTTCAGAACATTCAATGACATCTTTCAACGATAAAAGTAATTGGTAGCTTTTTATTTATAGACTTAATAACCCCATCATCATTCCTTTTGTACTGCTTCTTTTTTCAAAATAGTAAATCATAAGATTATATAACGATGAATAGACTTGTGGTAAATATATTTATATGAAAATCTTTGCGTATGAATTTTTCTTTTTTATGTAGAAATCACTTTTTAAACCAACTTTGTTTCAATTTCAAAATGCAACTTTAATTAGTCGTCAAAGTTTTGCATTTGCTTCTACAACAAATGATGATAAAACAAAGAAATTATTTGAATTAATTAAAGATATTCGTTATGCTATGATGTAAATTCTAAATAATTTAAATAAAAATAAAACAACTCTATTCTATACTTTAGTACAACAACTGAATCAGATCATAGTCTTCGTGCACGTCCAATGGCTAGTCGACAAGCTGATGATTGGGATGGTACATTATGGTTTTTTACTAAAAAATCTTCACCAAAAGTTAAAGAAGCAAAACAAAATCATGATCAAGTCAATGTCTCATTTTCTGATCCAAATAAAATGTCATTTGTTTCAGTTAGTGGTAAAGCTGAACTTGTTGAAGATAAAGATAAATTAAAAGAACTTTGGTCATCTTATTTAAAAGTGTTCTTTCCACAAGGATTAAATGATCCCGATTTAGCTTTATTGAAAGTAACAGTTAATTATGGTGAATATTGGGATTCACCAAGTAATACAATGGTACAATTATATGCCATGGCAAAAGCAGCCGTTACTAAAAATCCAAAAGCACTTGGTGAAAATAAAAAAGTTGATATTAAAAACTAATTAGATTTGTACTATTTTTTTAATCACGCAAAAATAAAGTTTGAAAAATAGATAATTATTTATAATCAGCTATGTGTGTCACTATTTACGCTGTTTGTTCGCCAAACTCAATGAGATAAATCTTATAATTGAATTAATTCAAAGAACAAATAATAAGAAGAGAATAATTTGATGTATGTTTAATAATATTTGAATTTTTCATTTCACAATCATACATATTTCAATTAGTCAGACTTAAGAATCCAATTCTTTCAAGGATTTTCATATTTCCATTAAGCTCTACTTACAAGCAAAACAAGAGCTCAAGAGATTTAGATCAGTTAATTGAGCTTTCTTGTGAATAATCAATCTAAATCCGAAATTTCACCAACTGGTATTTCAATACAATAAACAGATTGATATCAAATACATCTGACGTAGACAGAAGGACATTCCTATTTTTGATCATCAAATTCATTGTTAATAAAAAATGGAAATAAGAAATTAGACAAAAGTGAACGAACAAATAAATGAAAGAGAAACGTTATATGAAGCAAAAATTATAATAACAATGCTCCACGAACGTTTTTGAACAGCCTATTTTCCTCATAGTATAAAGCAAAATTTCTCTCCTATTTGATACACACTGAATAAAATAAATAATGCATTGAAAGACTTGTATCTATACAAGATATAAGTGATGATACCAGTCAACATGGTAGTTTTCAACCTACACTATCATTAAATGACATACATCGACTTAATTGACATATATCCAACCAAATCGAAATTGTTCAAGCGATGCGACGTGAAGCAAAGGATTTGTGTATGGAATTCTTTGTAAGTTTTCTTTTATTCTAATAATTTTTCACAGCTGAAAGTGCATCTGGTTGTAGATAATGAATTATCAGCTTTCTTCCAACATATATTAGTTTAAATTCTTGATTTAGATGAGCTCATTTGTTGAATTAGTGTCATCTGTATTCTGATAGCATTTAAATTTTAATTCCATTCTACGATAATCGTGAATACTGAGGATTTCGTAGTCGAGTGAATCACGGATACCGCTCATTTTTTTTTCAAGATAAATAGACGACATTCTTGTTAGTTTTTGAAAGATGGATTTATCATAGAACGATATTATCATCACAGATGATAATTTTTCATAGGGAAAAATAAGTGAATTATTACAAATAATATTCACTAGATTTCAATACGCAAAGATTTTGTTTAGATTTTTACTATATATCTATATAAATCAATATTGTATCCATTCGACTTCATGGACTGACAATCATGTATTTGTGACAAAGTTTTTTTCTCTTACAATTTCTAATAATTATCGAATAGTTAACATTAAGTTTTGTATATTTTTTATGAGTGATAATTATTCAAAATCCTTTTTGCGTTTATCTAATTAAAGTAAATATTTGAAAAAATATTTTGTATTATTTTGAGAATATTAAATCAAAATAAAAGTGATAATGTATATTGTAAGTGTTTTATCAGTATTGTTATTCGATTTTCGTAAAAGATTGTTAAATAATATCAATAAATAAATCCTCTCTTATTCTAGCAGGCGTATTCAATACTTATATAAATTGATATAGTGTATATTTTGATAATTACGATAATTATTAATAATAAGAGCATGTTAAAATTTGAATAAATCTGCAAACATATCTTTTATTGAACTCATGATATGGGTGTGGGCGAGTAGGTGTATGCAAATTAATACATATTTTTAAAGAGTAAGATTAAATCTAGAAAGAAAAGCAAATCCAAATAATTTATCGAATTAGTTAATATTGAGCATGAAAAACATTTATATTGTATGCTTCACGGTAATTAATTGACTGATAGACTATATTGAACAACAATAGACATTTTTCTATCTTATTTAGTAATTACAATTTCAATATCTAATTTTTTTGTATCTTGACAAAATAGTTTGTGTAATATTTGACAACTTTGAAAGAAAAATTAAAATTGATTTTTTAATTATTCTCAAATTTATATGAAATTTTAACCAGACTATTATTATTGTTTTTTTATAAAATTCATTCTTGATGATTATATTAATGAATATAATATTATCTTTCATTTAAATCATTGTTTTATAATCGACAAAAAAACTGTTATTTGTTTCCTAGATTCTATTATGATATTTTTAAAAATTTTCAGTATCTCGAAAAAATCATATTGTTAACATCAATGATCAATATTTTTCAAATCTACCAAATATTTTGACTCAAAATTTGTTTTTTATTTATTCTATTGAAAAAATTGCACTGGCTGTTCCAATTTCGTGCTGACAATAATAATTACTGTATTTTTGATATCGTCTTTCTATAAACGATATATGTATATATATTTATATTTGCATTGTAGTATGTATAATGAAAATAGAATGTGTTATAGATCGGATCAAAGAGATCATGTAAAAGTATGTGAAGTATATGTATAAGTTCTTTTTATGACAAGATAATAATAAAAGACTAATTAATAGTTTAGAATAAATCAATAAGCAATGTGAACCTATAATGCAAAATAAAATATTGTCTTGATACTTTCACAATTTCTCTGCTATTATTTACTTCATTAAAATATCTGGCTTAGATTAAAAGATGATAATTGAATTCAAAGCTTATTTTATATGTATTGGATAAAAAAGAAAAGTAGTAAAAAACACTTGTATGACTGTAGATGTAAAAATATTTATTTTTTGTTAATGAAATAGTTAAAAAATAATTATTGTACGCTGTTTTGAGCATTTAACATTGTATAATAAATTCCACCTTTTTGTATTAGTTCTGTATGAGTACCACTTTCTACTATACGACCCATTTCAAGTACATGTATTAAATCACATGAACGTATTGTTGAAAGACGATGTGCAATAATAATTGATGTTCGACTAGGATCTTCTATTTGAGCTTGATCAAGAGTTTCTTGTACTATCTATAAATTAAAAATGTTAATTATATATAGAAAAGAAAATCAATTTACTTGTTCATTGTATGGATCCATAGCACTTGTAGCTTCATCTAATAATAATATTTTAGGTCGACGAATAAGAACTCGAGCAATAGCAATGCGTTGTTTTTCACCACCTGATAAAAAACTACCTTTTACTCCAACCTTTGTTTCATAACCCTATATGAAAATATAAGATAATATTATTAAATAATCAAAATATAAATCTAACTAGAGGTAATTGTTGAATAAATTGATGGATATTAGCTTTAGTTGCAGCAAGAATAATTTCATCAATTGATATATTTTCTAATCCATATGTTATATTTTCAGCAATTGTTAAATCAAATAAAACTGGTTCTTGACTAACAACACCCAAACGAGAACGAAGCCATTGAATATTTAATTGTCGAATATCAACACCATCAAGAGTCTTAATGTTTACATAAATATCTTTTAATAAATACTTGAATTATATATATAGAAAAGAGATACTTACTAATTGTCCTTGTGTAACGTCATAAAATCTTTCTAGTAATTGAACTATTGTTGATTTTCCACATCCAGATGCACCTAGATTGATTAATATTCTATGATTAATAAACTAGAAAATTAAATTTATTTCAACATACCAACAAGAGCTATACGTTGACCTGATTTAATCGACAATTGAAGTTTATTGAGAACAAGAACTGTTGGACGACTTGGATAAATAAATTTAACTTGATCAAATTCTGTTTCGCCACTAAGGTTAGTCTAAACAATTTAAGATAAAAATAAATAGAATTGAAAGACAATAATTTTTCTTTTTTGTTTTACTAATTCTTGTCCTTTATTAGATCCATTATCAATAGTTGGTACTCGATCAAATAGATCAAAAAATGCGTGAGAAGCAGCAAATGATGCACCAATACGTTCTGCTCTAAAATGAAAATAATAAAAATAAAATATAAATTCTATATCTTACAAAATTCCAACAACTTTTATTGCTTCAAATGCGAATATTCCAAAAGCAGAAATCCTATAAAAATAGACAAAATAATGAAACTTAATTTATAGATTATTAAAATGATTGTTTCAGTTACATAACAACACTGCTTATTTCTAGTTCATTGTTTTCGACAAGAATCAAAGCACGCCAGTACAAAAGTCCCAAAGTCAATGGTTCCATCGAGCAGAGCAATCCATACATTGCAGCAAACAGTGTCTCAGATCTCCCAGACATTCTATACAAAAGAAAATTTGTTGAAGATTCAAGTGAATATCTGTAAAAAAAAGAGTTATATTCGATATTATTAATACATAATTAATATAGAAGAGCGTATTTTTGATAAAATTATTCAAAATTCTCGAAACAACTGGAGCTTTTTTTTATTACTTGATACATATATAGATTTCAATTTATATCTGCTATAACTAAAAAATAAACTAACTACACTCAAAAGCAACTATGTCATCGAATTTCACTCAAGTTTCGATTTTACTATTATTTTCTCAGTTAGTTTTTACGATTTTTCATTAATATGCAAAAAAAGCTTTTCAAAATATAAGTATACATTCTCATAGAATTTACAGTTCTTAACCACTTTTCATCTTTTCATTTTGTCTTCAATTTTTGTCTCATGCAGTATGTAAATATAATGCAAGATGATGAATAATTTCTAGCTTTGTCAAAACAAACTATTACTAATTTTTCATAAAAAACTTCTTTCATAGTAATGAAGAATCTCAAAAAACTTAACTAAGGAAACGATGACAAAAAGACTAACATTAACACTTGATCAATCATATTCGAATATTGTCGTAAAACTTCATTTTCTATTGATAACTGTTTTACTGTACGCATATTGGTAATAACTTCAACAGCAAGCTAAAGAAGGCAAAACATAGATTAAATATTTAATAATCATTTGGTCAAATTATGTATAATAACATAATTCTATTACACATTAAAAGATTATAAATAACAAGATAGTTTTACCGTGCTAGCTTGAGAATAAATGAGATCAGTTTGTGTTTTCAACCATGAACTCAACCGTATTCGAATAATAAGGACAATTAGCAGGATAACGAAAGGAATAGCAACGGTTATTGTTAATTGCCAGTTGTAAAAAGAGCCGAGTAACAAGCCAAAAGCAGACATGGATAAAGTTTGACAAATAACACCTAATCTTGTACCAGCCATATCTTGAATAGCAGCTGCATTAGAAGAAAGATGAGTACATATTGCACCAGAACTGTTTTCAGGTCGATCAAAATAAGCGACTTCTTGACGAAGAAAACATCCGAAAGCTTTTGAACGAAGGCGACTAACTAATTTCGCTCCTGCGATTCCAAAAGTCACAAACTATAAACGAACATGAAAAAAACTCATTGATATAGTTTAGTAATAAAGTTGTTACTTGGAAAAAATGAAGAATCATAAAAACAGCGCCAGTAAGAATTAATAAACTACATGTAATCAACACTCGATGACGTATATCAGTATATTTACAATCATTAAATTCCTAAATAAAGAAAAATTTAATAGAAAAAAAACAAATCTTTTATCTTTTGTGAGAATATTCATACAAATAAAATCACTCACATTGATTATTTTTGCAAATAGAATAGAGAAGAGTGGTCCGCGTAATCCACCAATTAAGCATGCTAAACAACCAATCAAGATAAATATCCATTCAGGACTATTCATCTTCAAAAGTCTAAGAAAGACAGATTTCCCTCTTATTGGTATTGAACTTCTCTAAAAATTTATACATTATTAATAATGAGTTTTTAAAATTATTAGATATTTATATTTACCTGATTTATATCAATTGATTCGCTTTCGCTCAGTAGACGAATACGTTCCACTATTCCAAAAAACAAAACAGAATAAAGTTTATAAAATATAATATTTATTAATATTAGAATAGTAATAACATACATATTTGTTCTTCATCTTCAGCTGCTGCTTTTTCCATATTCATTAAGCCATCTTGTGTACCAATCATTTTTTCAGATTGTTGCATTTTGACCATTGTTTGATATTTACCTCCTTCTTTTGCCAATAATGTTTCATGTGTACCTTCTTCAATAACACTTCCTTTATCTAATACATATATATAATCAGCATTTTGGATCGTTGTCAAACGATGAGCAATAACTATTGTTGTACGATCTAAACATTATAATAATAATATAATCAATAGTTATTAAATAATTCTTACTTTTGCATGCTCGATCAAGTGCTTCTTGAACAATTCTCTCACTAACATTATCAAGTGCACTTGTTGCTTCATCTAACAAAAGAATGCTAGGTTGTTTAACAAGTGCACGAGCTAATGCAATACGTTGTTTTTCCCCACCGCTCAATTGTATACCACGTTCACCAACAAGTGTTTCATATTTCTGCAAACAAAAATATTAATATGAACACATAGATAAATATAAATATTAAAAAACAAACATTTGGTAATTTCATAATGAATTTATGTGCATTAGCTTGTTCTGCTGCTTGTTCAATCTCTGCACGTGTTGCATTCATTTTACCAAAACGAATATTTTCATAAATACTTATTCCAAATAGAATCTATTTTAATATAAAAATTCGACAGAGACTAAAAAAGAAAATAAAAGAAACCTACAGGTTCTTGACTAACAACTCCAATATTTTGACGAAATTGTTTGATTTTATAATCTGTAATTGACTGACCATCAATTATAATTCTGCCTGAGGAAGGTTCATAGTAGCGAAGAAGAAGTAACACACATGTACTTTTTCCTATCAATGAAGTTCAATATTAAAATTTTATATTTGTCTCAAAAAAAAGATTTACCACAGCCACTTGAACCTACAAGCGCTGTTGTTTGATTCGCACGAGCAATCAATTTGAGATTATTCAAAGCTGTTACATTTTCTCTAGATGGATAAGAAAAACTAACATTGTCAAATTCAATATCACCATTGATAGTCGAAATTGATTTTTCATCAGATATGTTCTCTTCCAATATTTCTCTTTCATTGATATTTTCATCATGCATCTATATCATAAAATAAATTAGAAAATATAATTACTAAAGTTTCCTCTCTAGTATTCAATCAATTTTACCTCATCAATAAGTCGAAATACGGAAACTGCTGCACCTTGAGCTTCCGAAATTGATTGAAAGAAAGGTCCAATATGATTAAGATAACCTAAAGCTTGTGCAAACATATTTACAACCTAAACAAAAGTTCTTTTTTCAGTTACTTTCTTATGTATATTGATCTTATAGCTGATTTACAACAAGAATATCACTAATGGTCAGTGTACGATAATTTCCATAAGATATAAGAATAGAACCAAAAGTGAAACCAATTGAATAAACTACAAAGTTTATAAAAAATAACCAACCAGTATAAGCGCCAAATGTAGCATCTTTGCGTACAGTATACCATTCATTTAGTTTTAATTCTTTATCATATCTAGATAAAGATAAATAATATAGAATAATCTATAAATCTTTGTTTGTTTCTTTACTGTTTTTGTTGCCATTTGCTTCCATTGAATGAAAGAACAGTTCTTAATGAACTAAATACTTCTTGAGCGATTTGCCCAGCTTTTGAATATGTACTTAATTGTTCTTCTGTTTCTTTCGTGATGAGCTGGAATTACTGATAAAAATTTTAGTAAATTAAACAATCATTTCTACCTTAGCAAACATCAATGAACTACCAACAACGATTGGAACTATACAAGACATGATTAAAGACAATTGCCAATTGATAATGAAAGATATGATTATACTGAAATTCATCATTAGAATAAGTTCAGTTACCATTAAGAATTCAAAACCTATCCCGTTTTTGATCTTTTCAATATTACTGTAAAGGAAATCGATCATATACATATAATTGTTTGTTAGAAATTTATTATATTTACTTACGTAAAAAGCGTCGTATTGTACTGAGTAGTTCGGTTTGTATCCAAGTAAGTCATATTCTAAAAAATGAAAGAGAAATAATATTAATTTATTTAAACTATTTCTAAATCCTATCAATAATAAAATTCTTTGTTTTTGTACGGTAAAATTATCTTCAACATGATCTTTGAGATTCATTCGTATTATCGTCTTCGTCTCTTATATATTTTCTATTGATTATTTTCATCATTTAATTGATATACCAACGATGCTTTTAGAGTTATTAGTTTTGTTGATTAGAGAAATAAACAAAATAAACTATGTATTAATTAGTTCAATCGTTGATAATCAGTTATTTTAGTAACTCATCAACAAAAAATCGATTTTAAAGAAATAAGAACGCTTGCTTGAATGTATTTAATACAAACATTTACAATGCAGATCTGTACTGAATTTAAGTCATATCTAGTAGATATTCGGTACTATATTCAATTTTGACTTCTAATCACGAATTATAAAGTTTTTTTATGAGTGTAAAACAATATTATTACTTACACGTTGAATAAGTGATCGAAAGAGTAAAACACTCATGCGAGATGTTTGTCGTTTCGTAGCAGTTGTCCAACAGATATATACAAGAGAAGTACATACAAAGATGAGAATAGTAATACCTACATTGATACAGAGAAAGAACAAATCGTTTGTCTTTTATTTATTTCAATCATCATATTCAATAGACGTACCGAAGAACAAATAAACTAAGTGCATGATATTTTCTCGAAATAAAGGAGTCAATGGAGATAATATCGATGAAATAGTTTTATTATCATAATGGCATAATCTACAAAAGAAAAAAATTCAAAAGATCCAAAATAAGAATATTTAAAAAGACTATTTTTCAATAAATTACTTGTGTAATCGATCATAATTTAATGGATTAAGATCAATACCAAAAGGACATACACTATTATTGATAATTTTAGATAGTGAATTTTTATATTGATTATGACAATCAACAGCAAAAGATGTAGCGGCAAATAATCCTGTGATTCGACCAAACAGAATTATATCTGCGAGAAGACAAAATATATCTCCCACCATGAAACACAGAGCAATAATTATAAGAAGAAGATCAATACAATCAGCAAATCGAAACTATCATCAAATGAAATGAATCAATTCATATATATATTACAGAGAAAAACAATATGCTTTCTCCTATGATATTTCTTGTTAGAATATACTTACCAATTCAAAAACACTAATTGGAATATCTTTATTTGTTTGTTTGATCTCATCATCTAACTGTTTGTTCCTAGCATTAGTCTTTTGCTGATTGAAATATTGACGCCAATCAAAAGAACTATAAATAATGATAAGTTCTTATATGTTTATCAATATTATATTTTTTTAGAAATCATACCTTTTATTTTCATTGTCGCTATCATTGTCAATAGGTGATTTATTATGTTTCTTTAATAGTGGCTCTTTATCACTCATGTTCTTCTTTTTCTTTTCAAATATACATTATTATGAAACGTGAAGCTTATTATGAGTTTATATGTATTGTTATGAAGAACGATTCAATGCTTTTTGCTTCACTGATTTTGCATGTTTCATCTATTTTATCTGTTTTCTTTCATAATGTCAGAAAACGTAGGGAGCACTATATTAAAGGCAATAATTTCAGATATTTTTTCATAGATGTAAATATAACTAATATTTTCTTCGTACCTGCCGCGTAGGAGCAATACGTTCTCATTAAAGACTCAGAGATAGTAAATTTAATGATTGGTAAAGACTAAAAAAACTGAAAATATTATATATAAAAAGTCGTTCAAATCGAATTTTAAAGCATTTATTGACAAAAAAAATATAAAATAAATTGTCGATTGCTTGTAATCTCTACACAATCATGAAGCTTTAAGTTAGAATTTTATTAACCGTAAAGAAAACAATAAAATAAATTAAAGAGATATAAGTAGTCCAAATTATCAAGCCACTTCTACAATAAAATTTATATATATATTTATAATAGATACAATTTTCTTTTAAGAATATCATTCATTTTCAAATAGTTTCATAATATTAATGATATTTTCTAAAAGACTAGATATAATATGCATGAATAATATGATTATATATTTTTCATACTCTTCTTTTGTTTATTTATTTAAAAACAAGTTAGCTTTCGAAATGCACTGTATTTATTCATCAAACATTTTTCTACTATACATAACATTCTACGCATTTATATATACATATTATAAAGAGACATCGTCTTTGTTCTTTTTCTTTGTTCGTCCTTTGTTAAATATTTAATAGTAATATAGAAGACAAAAGGGTAAGAGTGACTAAGTCGAGTTTGAAACCTGTTCTGTATCAATATTAAACGTTTAACAAGGAAAAAGAACAAAGACAATATCTCTTTATAAAATGTATATATAAATGTGTAAAATATTATGTACAGTAGAAAAACGTCTGATAAAGAAATGCAGTGTATTTCAAAAGCTAATTTGTTTTTAAATAGATAAATAAAGGAAGAGTATGAGAAATAAATATCAATTAAACATTCCTAACCGAAAAGAATAATCATATGATTTTATTTACAAATCAATCGATTACACATAAATAATTGTTTCAATCTTCGTTAAATATCGAGTTAGGAATAGATTTATTCAAGAAAAACTAAAATTTATACTATCATTCATGTTGAACGAATGCAATTATAGATTGATTATAAATCATTCATCTTTAAAATAATGAATTTCTTAAATATATTACAAAAAACATATCATATTAAATATTATCGTTGAGAAAGAATTAAAAAAATAATGACTTTATATTTGTCTAACACTTGATTTAATTCTGTTCCTTTGATTTGTACCCAAGTACTTGTTGCATTTAGATAACAAAGATAAAAAGAATGATTTAAAAGAATGATTTATTTCTTTTGATTTTTTTATTAGAATCAAATGAAAAAAATGAATGAAAAACATCGAATAATACATATGATTGATGATACAAATGAAAGGTTTTGACAGTTGTATCTTATTCTCCTATCAAAGAGAAATTGTGTGACATCAAGCAGAAATGCGTCAATAACATGAAATTAGAAGAAAATATTTTTTTACAAACACATTATCTTCATCAAAATACATTATTATAACTCAAACAAAGAGATTTTTTTGAAATAGTCACGAAATAATCGATTTCTAACCGATTTATTGATGGTTTTTGTATAATTATCACTGTGAAAATTATTGATTAAAATCGTATGAAAATAATCGATTATTTCGTGACTATTTTACAAAATTTTCTTTACATGGGAAAAACACACAAAACGATAAGAGAGAGAATTTCTCAATTCATGTTTTCATTCATTCATAGAAGTTTAAAAGAACTTGAGAGAAATACCTATTCAAGTATATGTACATGTCTATATAGAAATTATTTTTTTTCCGTTTCTCCTTGATATGCATGACTCAAAAGTGAAGTGAAACAAATTTTCTTATTGACTGTTTCAATTGTAAATGTTATGAACTGCTCATTGATACGATCATATTTAGTACACTACAATCGTATAAGAAATGTAATATATAGAGAATCTTGGATTTATTTTAAACGTGTTTGATATATGAAAAATAATATTTGTTTCCTCAAACATTATGATCTATTTTTTTTTATTTGCTGGTAAGTGAGTAATTATATATTATTGAATTTTATAAGAATATGTCAATTAAAAGTTATTTATTTAGCCTAAAATAAATAAGATATTCAATCTATTAAGAATAATCTCAAGCGACAAAATTAATAAAACTAAACCTTTGAATAGAAGTATATGGTAAAATGAATGTTTTTCTTGTACTCATACTGGCTTTTATTTTAGTTTATTAGTTATTTGAAAAAGAAATCGACGACTAATCCTAAGAATTAGGACGAATATGAATAAATTGTAAGTGTGAATGAGGTTGTAGACAACAAGGTAACCAAAAGAGTGCAATGGATGGTCTAGCGGTTTCTTCGTGATAAGTTCAAGTGATTTCGCTCTCCATCGTGGCAAACATTCATTAATATAAATACCAAAATTAATCTTTCTTTTTAATTCTATCATATATTTTGTTGTATGATACTCTGTATTAAAAATATATAATTCTTGACAAGTGACATATGAAGTTATCTGAATGGAATATAGAATATTTATTTCTAAACTTGATGATCTTTTATATTTATAAATCATTCTATTATATTACATAGATATACATGATTCAAATTCGTGATCTTCTCAACAATAAGTAAAAATATAAAAACTATGCAACATTTTAATTCCTAATTATTTTTTAGATTTTATTTGACTTATTTCACTTCGGCTTTGATTCATGAAGCTATCTTTATTTTTTAAAATAAATTTTTGTCATTTAATAATATTAATATGAATTTTTTCTTAATTAAGAAATGATATTATACATTAAAGAATAACAGTTCTCAATCCATTTTTATGCCAAATTCTTACATATATGATCAAGTACAAATCTACGATAAGCAGCGCCATGTGCCATTAATTCTGCATGTGTACCGCTTTCCAGTAATCGTCCAATAGGACCAAGAACACAAATAAGATCACATGATTGAATAGTAGAAAGACGATGTGCAACAATAATAACAGTTCGTGATGGATTATCTTGCCGTGCAGCATTCAACGATTCTTCAACAAGCTGAAAAAAATTAGAAATAACATGGAGATTTTTGACTATCAATTTTTTTCTACTTATTCAGTAGTGTCAAATTTCTCAACTCTCTACTGTGAATTACATTATTAAGTTTCAACAAGATAGAAATAATAGAATCAAACATCGCACAAGATCCAATATTTTGTCAATTTGTATTTTATAAGAAATAGACAAACAAATGTTATTTACCTTTTCATTATGTACATCCAACGCACTCGTTGCTTCATCAAGTAATAGAATTTCTGGATTACGAAAAAGAGCTCGTGCAATAGCAATACGCTGTTTTTGGCCTCCAGATAAAAATGAAGTTCCATTCAATCCTACAGGTGTATCATAACCCTGAAATTTAATAAAATAATCGTTGTTTTTTTATAAATCAGCCTCTTTTCAAAGTTGAACATGTCATATGAATAAAAATTGCAGCTTTTTATTGTATTAGAGTATATAAAAAGAGTAAAACATATCTGAGGTAATGCTTCTATAAAATTACGAGAATGAGCTCGCCTAACTGCATTAATGATATCTCCATAAGTAAATGTATGTGGTAAACAGCCATAGCCATATGACATATTTTCGACAATAGTAAGACCCAACATAAGAGCTGGTTCTTGACTAATAAGACCAATTTGTGCTCGTAACCATGATAAATTCAAAGTTCGTATATCATGACCATCGACTAACTATTAAAAAATCAATATTCAAAATCATACATATATAAATATATAATAACTCATGTGTTTTCTGGTGTGAGGAAAAGAATTATTTAGTCATTTACTTTTCCATGTACTGTAGTGTGAATATACGACACATCTTTCTGTTTTAAGAATAAAGCTCATAGACGACTATTAAAGATAGTATTGAATCTGATCTATTTAGTTTAAAAACAATACAAATGTATCCTAAATCGATTTTCATACTGTTAGTTACTATGATGAAAACAGAGAAACAAATTACGTACCACACGTCCTTTATCATAATCGTAAAATCGTTCGAGTAACTGAGTTACTCTTTGACTAACAATTTAATTTCGATTCAATTCGGAAGTTTTTGATTTTGTTAAAAATAAAAAGCCGATTCAAGTTGATTTCTTTAGACCTTTTAAGAGATTCTCGAAAATATCAATGTCGATAATCGATCGGAAAATAGTCAAAGATTTGATTAGGCAAGATATCGAAAAGAAATTTCTCTGATATCCAGATGATGCATATGACATTTTATTGGTTTTATTCAGAACATGGTAAGACAAGAAAATTTTCTCAAATCTTCTCAGTAAATAGATCACAAATGAACAAATAATATCCTACTCCTTTTGCTCTAATCGAACAAATTATTTCCATGTATAGAAGATTTAACGTAGAAGGAAAATAAATAATGAATAATAGGATACTTAAACAAATGATAGATTTTTGTTGAGACTGTTAATGCTTTTGTTTTCTTTATAAACGATTTCAAATTAATCTAATAAAGTTCTAATTTTGAGATAAGTATTAAAAAATATATATGAATAACAGTTCCCAAGTTAATTATTAATTATTGAGCAAAGATATAAACGAACAATCTTTTAAAAAAAGAACTTTTTCTTTTATTCAACTTTAATCAAAATTATAACTCAATATCTCAAACTTGTTTTTAAAGAGAAATATTGAAAAAATAATGAGAATGTTTTCTGATTAATTCAATTTAATAATTAAATTCAATTAGGGAAACAGATTGAAAGTTTGACTGAGAATCGAAATCCAGTTGAGAAGTGAAATGAAAATCATTAAAAATAATAAAATATATTAGAAATTGATTTTGAAATCTTACAAAAATCATTTTCTTTTTATTAATCATTATTAATTAGTTAATAAAATGATTAAAACAATATTTATTCTTCTCATCGATTATTAACATTCAACTTGATCGATATTAAATTTAGAATATTTAAAAGATTCATTCTCTTTCTCTTAAACATGTTCTTATATATCTTCATTCTATGAATATTATTAAGAAAAAAGTAAATTATCAATTGAAATTAAGTACATTTACTCACATTTACATTTATATCGTTCAGGTTTTGTTCTAATATGACAATTCTTAATAATTAAGCATTCATTGAAAATATTTTATATTAGTATAAATCAATATGAAATAATATTAATAGAAACCTATTTGAAATAATTCTATTCTACTCTAATTTTATCCATCATTGATACAATTGAGAAAATAATTCTAGAGAAATACTAATTAAACTTTTATCACGACGACTACTCTTTTCATCTAAAATGAAAATATAAAATTAAGATTTGAAAAAAAACAAATAATTCTTAATATAGTCAAGCATCTCCTTTCTTCTATTAAGATAATAAAATGAAAAGATTCCAAATTCTCATTGAAAATAACTCAATTTAAATCATAAGATATCTTAATTTATAAACAATAAAATCAAAGGAGTTTCTTTTTTATTCTATCATAAAGTTATCTTTCTATTAAATACTATCGATTAAGAAAGCCACGTTAACTTCCATTCGAATCGATTAAATTATTTTAAATGAAATCTTTCACCTATATTCAATGGTCAATCTTTTATTCGAATTTTATAATAATTAGTACAACAAAAAATCATCAAGCGAATCTTACTAAGACTATTTATTTATGGATCATTAAACTCAAACTGTTTTGATTTCATCGCCTTATTCACAAAAATTCTTTTCATATTCAATTATTTTAATAATTAGACTGACTCGACAACTTTTACAATAATCGATTAAAATGACTCTTAAATAGAAATAATCCATGTAAAATGGTCATAAGATCTTGACAAATGGCAAATGTGCCAAATAGATAAAACGGTTTGATTTTATTGTTACCCAATCGAGCAATTCTTCTTGATAAATAACAAAAAAAAATGAGATTACTTTCGTTTGCTACTATAGAAAAGTTAGTATTTATTGAGAAATATTCTTCATGTCAGTATAAATAGTATTGATAAACAAAACTAATCTGTATTTTATTCTTTTCATTCTCTCGCCTTTGTGTTCTGATACATAATATATGACGCTGTGTGATATGAAGACACATGGATAATAGAGTAATATGCCGACGATAGTATAGTAACACGACCCCATCCGTTCGTCATTGTAATTACACTAAAATAG